GGCAGTGGCCACTGCTTGGACTATATTCAGCCTTCAATGGTAATCAATAATATGCAAAGATAAGTGGGGTTAGGGACATTGCCAGCAACTGGCTGACAAGACCCACAAAGCAGGTTAGAGGGCTGGGTAGATAAGACCTATGGGGAAACCCTGAGATGTGAAGACCTCAGATGTTGGCAGAGTGGGATGCTCCAAGCAGAGCTCCTCTTTTCCGCCTGTTCTTTTTAAACTTTTTACACTTACTCAGAGAGGAATGGAGGAGGCAACTCCCAAACTGGAGGCTGTCGCAGGTTGGCGAGTCCTGGACTGGAGGCCGTCGCAGGGAGGCGAGGCCTCGAGTTCTGAAGCATGGCATGGTCTGTAGACTTGGCCTGGTGCTGTCTGGAGGCTAGGTGCTGGCATGGACTGGGGTGAAAGGATTGTAAATCAAGTACATTTTTTTTCCTTTTTATTCTTATGCTTTTATTTATTATTCTTTTAATTTTGTACTAAATACTTAAGGACCCTTACCTTGGTATCTTGTGCCTAAGATGACACCATAAGCAGCGACATTGCAAACTTTTCACTGCACTCATTTGAATGCATGTGACAATAAAGCTAATTCAATTTTTGGGAATGTGCCTCCAATGGACAGAGCAGCCCAAGCAACGAAAACTGTCAGGCTGCATACTTACCCAAGATGGGGAGAGGCCAACACTAAAGTCCCAAAATGTCTAAAAACCATTCATTGATCATTTAAGGGCCTCAACTGACCTGCAGGTTTGTGGGCCTCCTCACGTTTCTCAAATATATCGATGGCATGAGGCCCTGGGAACTGCAACTGTTGCATGCCGCCCAATTTTACATAATTCTTTCCCTAACTCAACCTACCTAGGGCCATAAAGTACTGTCCATTATTTCCCCTTAGTAAAGTCAAGTTATTGTTTTTCTCTGTTCAGTTTAAGTGCATTGTTAAGACTACCTCAATAATAGGTTCCAGCATTTCCCTGAAGATAGAAGCAAAATACTGCAAATACTTCAACTTTAAAATAAAAAAAAAGTGCTGTAAAAACTCAGCAGATCTGGCAACATCTGTGGAAAGAAAACATAGTTAACATTTTGAGTCCACTACGAGTCTATTTCATAAGGTACCTGTTCTGATTTTCATGTTGCATTTTCTCAACATCTGGCTTGTTTGGCATTCTTGGTAAGATAGGAAGCTGGATAGTAATGAGTTGAGTTAGGCCATTATTAATGTGTTAAACAAGCATAAATTGGCAACTCACCATGATCTAGCAAGAAACTTGCCACACTGCTTGTCAAAAGCATGAAAATAGGGAATGAGATGCTCCTAGCATCAAGATTGGCCTCACCAGACACTGCCACCAATCTCGCCTTGGCAGTCATGTTGCTCAGACTCCTATTAGATTCCATCTATTTGTGTTTTCAATTATGAAGGCAAACACAAAATATCAGTTTCACTTCCCCACAATAATTTCTTCTACTTCTGCCTCTAAGGGATCAACTTTTATTTAACATACACTCCTCTTTCGTGTATATTACTCTTCTTTCATATATATTTGTAAAAGCTTTTCCAATCTGTTTTATATTCTTGGCTACTCTCATTCTATTTTTCCTTATTGCTCACCCTTTCCTGGTTTCTAAAACAATTCTGATTCTCAGATTTCATGTTGTTCTTTGCAAAATTAATGACCTGTTCATTTATTCCTATACTATCTTTGACTTTATTCATAAAGCATGGATCATTCTTTTCTGCAAAGGTTCAGTTTTTAACAGAATATGTTTGACGTGAACATTCTAAATCATTTCTTTATAGATCCCCCAATGATTATTAACCATTATAACTTTTTAGTTAATTCATCCAACCAACTGTTAACAGTTCTAACCTCATAAACAAAACCAATTACGTGGATTAGTTCAAGATTCATGTTTGGGACTAAATTGTTACTTTTAAATTCAATATGGAATGCAAATGGGTTAGGATTATATTTCCCAGATAAACTTTCAATATTTAACTATGAGATTACTCATTTGACCTATCTTACTGCATAATACTAGACATAAAGTAGCTTTATCCCTAGTTAGTTCCATGGGAAACTATCGCACAGGGGTTCTACAAATTGATCTTCCATATCTTCCTTGCCAACTTAATTTGTCTAGCCCATTTGAGAATTAAAGACCCTCATAAACATTACATTGTTTTTACTAAATATTTTTAATTACTTACTACTGAATTGTCTTGTCCAACACTATAACAACTATTCAGGATTAGTGGGGGCTCTCACTACCTTATAAGTTATTAGTGTGGGATAAATCCTAATCATATTGATTCTAATTCATGATCTTGTGAACCAAGGTACTTTCTCACTGCTGTCCTTAAGCCATCCTTTTCCATATTCTGTTTCCTTAAAATATATTAAAGCTGTAATATTCATTTCCTGATTTCTGTCACTGTATAATCATATTCCTGTGATGGGGCTACGATTTAAATCATTTCTCTATATGTGCCACTTGTTCATCTAAATTCAAATGCTTTGCACATTCAAATAAGGAGTCTTTTGTTTTCCCACCATCCTTTGAAGTGACTTTATTCAGTGAAGCACTATCACTGTTAATCTCTCTATCCTTTGCAATCCCACTCTGCTGCTGTTTTTTGACCAAATATACACAGTGCTCTTTGCCTTATGTTTTGTCTTTAGATTGCTACATCACCTGACCCTTTTTAGAGCGCTATCCATAGCCCTAGTTGTATAATGTGCTTGGACATTGTTCTTAGCTTCTTTGAACCATGTGATCAATTCTCCAAGCTGCATCATGAAGGCATAGCAATGAAGTAAATGAAAATGAAAGTAAATGAAAACTCTCCAATGGTTGGCACCCTACCTCACACACAGAAATTATCTGTGGTAGTAGTCTAGGTCTAACCATCTTTAGATGGATGACAGCAGCTCCAAAACACATGACACCACCCTGGACAAAGTAGCTTGTTTGATCAGCAGCCCAACCATCATCTTAAACATTTACTCTTTCACTACTGGAATACTGTGGCAGCAGTAAGTACCACCTGTAAGATTCAGTATAGCAACTCACCAAGACGACTTTGAAAGGACGTTCAAAATCTGCAACTTCTACTAACTAGATGAAAAAGGATGGCAAAATATATAGGAACATCAAGCTGCTCACCATCCTTATTTGAAACAATATTGTTGTTCATTCATTGTTGTTGTCAAAAGTTTGGAACAGCATGGAAGTGCAGCAACAGTGCAGTGGTTAAAGATAACAGCTCACAGCTACCTTCACGACAATTAGGGATAGGATTTTCAGAAGTAGATTAGCTGAGGTAGGGCAGAGATAAGGAGATGGAGAGGATATGGGGTTGTACATGAAGAGAAGTTTGGTTCAGCCTCAAATAGTTCAACGGAGGGCATGCCAGGAGCAACACCAAGCATACTTAAAAATGAAGTATCAACCTTGTCAAGCTATCAAACTCCACATGATGTCAAGAAATGGATGGAGGCATTGCAAAGGCTGTGGATCCTGACAACATTCTGGAAATAGTTCTGAAGATTTTGCTCCAGAACTTACTGTTCCCCTAACCAAACTCGTCCAGTCCAGTTACAACACTGGCATCTACGCGATGAAGTGAAAAATTGCCTAGCAATGTCCTGTGCACTAAAAACAGGACAAATCCAACCCAGCCAATTACCACCCCAACAGTCTGCATGCAATCAGTAAAGTAATAGAAGGTATCATCAACAGTAGTATCAAGCAGCACTCCATCAGCAATAACCTGCTCAGTGACCCCCATTTTGGATTCCAACAGGGCAACTCAGTTCCTGAGATAGTAGGAACTGCAGATGCTGGAGAATCTGAGATAACAAGGTGTAGAGCTGGATGAACACAGCAGGCCAAGCAGCATCAGAGGAGCAGGAAAGCTGATGTTTCGGGCCTGAAGGGTCTAGGCCTTCAAACATTGGTTCAAACATGGACAAAAGTGCTGAATTCCAGAGGTGAGGTGAAAGTGACTGCTTTTGATATCAAGGCCACATTTGACCGAGCATGGCGTCAAGGAGCCCTAGCAAAACTGGAATCAATGAGTATCAGGGGGCACTAGTTGGAGTCATTCCTGCCACATAGGAAGATAGTTGTGGCAGTTCAAAATCAGTCATCTCGGCTTCAGAACATCTCTGCAGGTGTTTCTTAATATAGTGTCCTAGGCCTAACCATCTTCAGTTGCTTCATCAATGACCTTCTCTCCATTATAAGGTCAGAAGTGTGAATTGTTGCAATTGATTGCACAATATTCAGCACAATTTGCAACTCCTTGGATACTGAAACAGTCCATGTCCGAATGCAAAAGATCTGAACAATATCTATGCCATCACCTCTCCCTAATGTGACAAATTAAAGGCAGTGGAGAATTTGAAAACGGTAGTGGTGAAAGAGTTCTGGGTGTCAGCAGCCTAAGTATAGAATCTGATATTGCATGATATTGCCAAAGGGCAGAAAGTGGATAGGAAATAGGTAAGGCTGAGGATAGATCTCTGGAGAATATCAGAGATAACTGTGCAGGAAAGGGAAAAGAAGTATTGAAGATGGTATTGTGGGTAAGACCGGTTGAATAGGAATGGAATCTGACAAGGGCAGTCCCACCCAATTGACCAACAAAGGACAGGCTTTGGGGGATGGTTTAGTCAAGGGTGTTTGAGAGTGCAGTTAGGTAGAGATAGATGCGGAGGTATAGTTTAGAACAGTCACCATCATATAGTGTGTAATTTCTGATTTTGTTAAGATCAAGTTCTGTGGCAGGATCCAAAATTTAATTGGAATACAAACATGGAATTCTGCTAACAGTTAAATATATTGAAACTTCTAATATAAATTTCATTAATATTTACTGACTTTGTGCAATACCAGATATTAATGAATGTAAGAATGGGTGAAAACAGTGATATAACATTTAGTTAATACATTGTTATTCACTAAATTATTAATCTTACCAGTACTGAAATAGCATTTTTTTTAGCTGGTCTGTTTAGAAGAATAGTGGTGATGTTGTTTTCACTTGTGACATTTATTGTCTGGAATGATGACTTTACATCTCTTGTGGTGGTTGCTTCACTTTGGTTGGGGATTTCTGCGGAAACCAATGTTTCTATGAGGTCAACATATTTTTGTCGAGCTTCCTCCTACAAATTTCAAAAACAAAAATTAGTCAGTATTTGTCCAGAATATTATTTTCACAGAACACAGTAGTCGTTGCATCTGCACCAGCTCTCCAAATGAGTGTTATGAATTAGGCTGTTCTCCTATCTTTTCCCAATATCCTTGCACCTAGGTTTTGTTCAAATAATCATCCAATGCCCTCTTGAATACCTGAATTTAACCTGCCTCCACCACGTTTCCAAGAAATGCATCCGAGACCCAAACTATTTGTGTATTTTTTCATCACGCATTTGCTGCTTTTGCAAATTACTTTAATTCTGTGCCTCCTTGTTCTTGATCCCTTTATGAGTGGGAACAGTTTCTCCCTGTCTACTCTGTCTGGCTCCCTTGTGATTTTGAAAATTTCTAACAGATCTCCCCTTAGCCTTCTTCTCTTCAAGATGAACAGTCCCAAACTCTCCAAACTATCCTCAAAAAATAATGTTTCTCATCCCTGGAACCACTCTTGTAAATCTCTTCCACATTCTCCAATGTGTTCACAACCTTCCTATCATGAGGCACCCTCAACTGTATACAATACTCCAACTAAGGCCTGACAAGTGTCTTACACAAATTCTGAATCAGCTACTCTTGAACGCTATGCCCCTATTACAGGATACTGTATGCTTGATTAACTGCCCTGTCCAACTGTCTGCCATGTTCAATGATCAATGCACATAAAAATCCAGGCTCCTCTGCCCCTGCACCTCCTTTCAATTGTGCCCCTTGTGGTATACTGTCTGTCGATATTCTTCCTACTAAAATCCATCACCTTACACTCCTCTACATTGAACCTCATTTCCACCTTTCCATCCACAACATCAACTTGTCAATGACTTTTCTGAAGTTCTGTACTGTCCCCCTGATAGTTTATAATGCTTCCAAGATTTTTTTTATCATCTGCAAACTTTGAAATTGTCTCTTTGCACACCAAGACTGAGGACATTAATATATAATCGGAAAAATAAGGGTCCCAATATTTGATCTAGAACAATTATTTCTAGTTCCACATTACTGATGAGATATGTAATGAAGTATTGGAGTTGGAAAGAAATCACAAAATAAGAGTCATGTACAAGAAGGTAAAGTCTCTGACAGATAGAAAGAAAGGGATATCAATATATGAAAGTCAAAGATGGTAAAATATTGTTTGAAAGAGATGTATATTGACATATACAATGATCCAAATCAAGGGACTCCTCAAGATATAGCAGGAACCAATGGACCAACCATTATGATACCAGATGTAAAGAATGCTTTGAAATTGTTGCGTTTTGGAAATGCCTCAGCCATAGATGAATGAAGGCAGTGGTGTAGTGGTAAAGGCACTGGATTAGTAATCCAGAACCAAGGCAAAAGTTTTGGGGACATGGGTTTAATTCCCACTGTGGTAGATAGTGAAATCAGAATTTAATTTAAAAAAATCTCAAATAGAGAGCTGACCTAATGGTGGCCATGTGACCATGGTGGCTATCGATTGTCAGAAAAATCCAACCAGTTCAGAGATGGCCTGGAAGGAAATCATGTGACTTCAGACCACAAGGCAATGTGTTCGACACTTAACTGCCCTCTGGATAATTAAACACTAAACAAAAGGTGGCACTAAATGCTGGTCTAGCCAGTGACACCCATATGAAAAGTAACAACCAAATATCTAAAAGCCCTTGGAGAAACAGAATTTGAAGAAACTGAAATTTGTGATCAAATATATATCAAAGGATACTTTCTAAGTGACAAGAGGCATTAATTGTATGTTTGTTGCCTATGAAACCTAAAGCAATAGAATAGAATAGCAATCATTTAGAACCAAAAGCTTAATGAGTCATCTCATTAAAATTATCTTGAATATCATAATAGAAAGAAATAATCACACACTTGAAGCAGAAATTGGTGAAACACAGCCTGGATTTAGAGCTGGAGTTGGACATTTAACCAACGAACAATGTTTAATACATATCTAGAAGTAAATACAAAGAGTCACACCGCAGTGAACCATATGTTTGCATATGCTTCCTAGATTTGGAAAGGCATTTGGATGTGGTTATCACCAAAAGCTAATAGATGTGTTGCTGAAATACAACATTAACAGTGAAGATGAGACTTATACAGTCCTAATTGGAACAAAATAGCAAGCATTAACCTAGAAGAGGGACAATCAAATACATTTCAGTTGAAGAGAGGAGTACAATAAGGCTGTGCATGTCAACAAATTTATGCAATCTTTGCAAAGAACAGATGAGCAGAGAATTAGATGTATTTCTAGGGATAAAAATGGGAGGAAATAGCATTACAAACTTGCAGTTCACTGACGGCAAAGTATTACTTGCAGATTCAGAACAGGCTCTACAAAATATTATGGGTCAAGTTAGGATAAAGATTATGAAGAACAAAATGACTAAAACAATGACAGTTGGAAGGACATTAAAGACATTAAAATAAACTAGCCTGAAGATTAGAATGGATGATATCACACTGGAACAAGTGGAAAAGTTTCACTATTTAGGACAAATTAGAACAGAAGATCGTAGATGTGATGTCAAAGCTGAGAGTCAAGATAAATGTTTTACTTTTCTATTTGGCAAACTGTAAATAGTGGGGCGCTACAGGATTTGAACTTTGGGCGCTAACTACTTACAGTCTAGATTAAGCACTTGGATGCTGGGATAGAATGTATTGTAGCCAGAATTTGCAGATGATACTAACTAAAATAGGTGGGAAAGTAAGTTGCAATGAAAACATAAGAAATTTACAAGTGAATATGGATAAGTTAGGTGAATGGACCAAAATTTCGTCGAAGAGTTTAACGTGGATAAGTGTTAGAAGAATAAAAAAGCAAATTATTACCTAAATGGAGAGAAACTGAAAAATTCTTTGGTATAGAGGAATCTGAGTGTCCTCACGCATGAATCAGACAAAGCTGGAATGCAGGTGCAGCAGGTAATAAGGAAGGCAAGTGCAATTTTGGCATTTATTGCTAAAGGAAAGGAGTATAAAGGTACAGAAGTGTTGTTGCAACTGTACAAGGCATTGTTGAGACTGCATCTGGAGTACTATGTACAGTATCGGTCCCCTCACTTGAGAAAGGCATTAAGGCAGTTCAGAGGAGATTGACAAGACTAATATGTTTCCAGTGACGAAAAATTTGTCTTATGAAGAGAGATTGAGTAGTTTAGGTCTATACTCGTTAACATTTAGGAGAATGAGAGGAGACCTAATTGAAGTATATATGATGCTGAAGGGGATTGACAAAATAGATGTAGAGCGAATGTTTTCCCTTGTTGGATGATCTAGAATGAGAGGTCATAGATTATGGCTAAGGAGTGGCAGATTTCAAACAGAGATAAGAAGGAATTATTTCTCTTAAAGGATTGCGAATTTGTTGAATTCACTACCCCAGATTCTGGTGGATACTGGGGCACTGAATAAATTTAAGGAGGAAATAGATTTTTAATTAGAAATGGGTTAAAGGGTTATAGGGAATGGCAGCAAGTGGAGTTAAGGTCAGCCATGATTGTATCAAATGGCAGAGCAGGCACTAGGGGCTGAATTGCCTACTCCTGCTTCTAGTTCTGAGAAGTTAAAATCATAGGAATAGCCAGAAGTAGTTTTATCAACATTAAAAATTTGTTAACGCCAAGAAAACTCAATCCTGTAACAAGGAAAAAAAGCCTTGCAAGATGCTACATTCAATCCATTTTCCTGAATGTTGGAATCATAGATTCATTCCAACAGAGAAGCTGTTCAGCCCAGAGTTCATGCTGGCTGCCTACAGCATTCCAATCAGCCCTATTCCCCTGCTCTGTTCCTGTACCCTTGCTAGATTATTTCCCTCCTATTTCAAGATTCTTTCATTTTGAATTCATTGATGGTCTCCATTCCACTCCTCTTGTAGGCAATGAGTTCTATGTCATCACCACTTGCTGCACATAAAGTACTTTGACACTTCCCCCTCTGTATACCACGTACATAATCTTCAGTCTGTGTTCCCCTAGTTCCTTAGCTAAACCTGCTGTCATGCTTGAAAAGCACAATGAAAGATCCAAACTTGTTTCTCTTTAAAAGTATATTTTCTTGCTTATTTTATTTTTAAATGGACATTTTGCTGGACTGACAACACTACTGCTGTTGATCACATGATGCCAGCTGACAACAATTTCTATAAAGTTCTGATCACAAGTTGCCAGAGGACAAAAGGTTTCATCATTCTCCTGCTTCATTGTCAAAACATTTCAGTCAATCAAGCCAAAACAAAGGAACCACAGATGAAATGTCAATACCAGCCACTTCTGAACAAGGGAGCTCTAACCAAATAACTCACATCTGAGGTGTCACAATTGAACCCACAGTTACCTGCTAAAAAATACACAGTTTTTGACCAGATGCAAAGATGTTTGCTGACTTAAGTGGCACAACCAGAAGCTCCAATCATGGACTGAAAATTGTTAATTTTTGACCTGTAGGAACCTAGACATTAAAGATCTGTGGGAGAAATTTGGGGTTATTGAAATATAGACCATTTGACAAATGAACAGGCATGTGAAATTGCAAGAGCAAAGATAACTCTCCAAAAAGTGATATCCAGAAAATAAAGTGTAGTATTTCATCCATTTGATGAAAATTGAAAAACTGAAACAGTCTCTTGCAGAAGGCAAAGTGGAGTGCAGCAAAAAGAGGGACTGACCTAGTCATAGTTGAATGATAGAGACCACAAATCATTGCAGGTCAGCTACAATCAATGTGTGAGGGTGGCTTAAGACAGAAAAGGGTTACATGCTATGACAGCAGATCCCTTGGCAGGGGTAGCCGTAAGCAGCAGAGTGTTCAGATTGTGTACAAATTTTTAACAATGAAGACATGGATTTCAAAAGCGTCAAAACAATATATTCCCATATAAATGTTATATACTGTAGCTGTCAAGTTGATTAAATCAACCAGAAATATGAATCAATATTTCTGGGCAGGAATCTCTGCAGAAACCGATTCCTTTTATATGAAAAATAAATTCTAACTTCTAGTTAATAGCTGAATGATGATACAAGATTCCATGTTATAAGAGTTTTAGTGTAACAAACAGGCTAAAGGCACTATTTACAATTGTAGGAAACTTGTACTTTACTATGGAACAGAATTTACCACTTTTACTTTTAATACAACTGAAGAAGTCAACTTCACAGATAGACTTTGCACTGGTTTAAGGTGATTCTTAATTCCCAGCATTTTTAAAAAATACATTTACATGTTGTGGCCAGGCCCGCATTTATTGCTCATCACTAACTGCCCAGAGGGCAGTTAAGACTCAACCACATTGCTGTGGGTCTGGAGTCATACGCAGGCAACACTGGGTAAGGACGGCAGTTATCTTCCCTAAACAACATTAATGAATCGGATAAGTTTTTTTGACAATTGACCGTGGTTTCATGGGTCAGCATTAGATCCTTTATTCCAGATTCCAGATTCTACAGCCAAACTACCATGTTGTGATTTGAACCCAGGTTCCCAGAATATTATATGGGTCTCTGGGTTAACAGTCTAGTGAAAATACCATCACTAGCCATCACCTCCCCTTACTTTCAATCCTTTTCTTTCAATGCCTGTTAGCTTTTAATCTTAGAACTATCCTTCACAGTGAGGGATTTTTTTCTTGCGATTCTGTATCAAGCACAAGCTAGGCAGATCTTCAACCTCATTTCAAATTCTCCCAAAATTCAATTATCTTTTTAATCCTACCTATATAACTGTGCAGTGAACCATGGAGATTTTTGACCTCTAGTTGATCCTTCTCTCTTGGATCCTGGCAGTGTCTGTGTCTGACAGTTGCAAGAATATCTTGGAAACCTTTCAAAGCCTATTTCAATGGCAACATGAGTCACACGGTTCTTGCTTACAACCTAACATTCTCAACACCTTCTTGGGTCTTAGTAAAGATGACTGATAATCTTCAAAGTACAGGTGCTGCTGCCATTCACTCCAATTGTGAACCTTCTCAACAAAATAACTCAGGCCTCCCTTTAATCTTAAGCAGCCATATCACCATGGCCTGGTGTCAGGCAGACTTCAGAATAGGTCTTAATTTTGCCCTAAGTTAAAGGAAAAGTTCTGAAATATAACAATCTTTTAAATCTTATATTTGTTATGGCAATAAAAAAAACTATTGTCCTGCTCCTCATTCTATGCTGATTTTTCCAGCAGGTAAGGGCAGCCATTGTTCAGAGATTCATTCACTGCTAATTCCATAACAAATTTTCCAACGTCACTATTACCATGTCTTTTCTATGATGGAACAATGTAGCCATATTTGGCTAGTTACTAAGAAACTGAATTAAGCCTGGGGGTGGGGGGTGGAGAGAGGGAGAGAGAGAAAGATATATATAGTGCAGTTTAGCAGACTCCAAAACTCTCAAGGCAGAAGAAAAGTAGGAAACAACTGGAGGGACCACTCTCTCCGTGACTCCTTTGTCCGCTCCACACTCCCCTCCAGCCCCACCACACCTGGCACTTTTCCCTGCAACCGCAGGAAGTGCTACACCTGCCCCCATATCTCCTCCCTCACCCCCATCCCAGGCCCCAAGAAGACTTTCCACATCAAGCAGATGTTCACCTGCACATCTACCAATGTGGTATACTGCATCCGCTGTAGCTGGTGTGGCTTCCTCTACATCGGGGAAACCAAGCAGAGGCTCGGGGATCGCTTTGCAGAACACCTACGCTCGGTTCGCAATAAACAACTGCTCCTCCCAGTCGCGAACCACTTCAACTCCCCCTCTCATTCCTCAGACGACATGTCCATCCTGGGCCTCCTGCAGTGCTACAACGATGCCACCCGAAGGTTGCAGGAACAGCAACTCATATTCCGCTTGGGAACCCTGCAGCCCAATGGTACCAATGTGGATGTCACAAGCTTCAAAATCTCCCCTCCCCCTACCGCATCCCAAAACCAGTCCAGCTCGTCCCCGCCTCCCTAACCTGTTCTTCCTCCCACCTGTCCCCTCCTCCCACCTCAAGCCGCACCCCCATCTCCTACCGACTAACCTCATCCCGCCCCCTTGACCTGTCCGTCCTCCCTGGACTGACCTATCCACTCCCTAACTCCCCACCTACACTCACCTTTACTGGCTCCATCCCCGCCTCTTCGGCCTGTTTGTTTCCTCTCCACCTATCCTCTCCTCTATCCATCTTCTATCCGCCTCCCACTCTCTCCCTATTTATTTCAGAACCCCCTTCCCCTCCCCCTTTTCTGATGAAGGGTCTGGGCCCGAACCATCAGCCTTTCTGCTCCTATGATGCTGCTTGGCCTGCTGTGTTCATCCAGCCCTGCACCTTGTTGTCTCGGATTCTCCAGCATCTGCAGTTCCTACTATCTTCTAACAAAATAGAAAAGCTCAGCAGGTCTGGCAGCATCTGTGAAGAAACTTAACATTTCGTGTCCAGTGACCCTTCCACAGAAGAAAAGTAGGCCTGAGTGATTTAGAAGTTAGGAAGAGAAAAACTGCAGAAACGGAGGTCTTTGAGGTGTCAGAGAGGAAGGCATCCTACAAAGCTATTGAATCAATATATTTAAGGAAAACATGCTAAAGAGTAAGTGAGTTGTATTAGCAGTTTGTTTAGAGGGTCTTAGGAATAGAGTTAACTAAAGAAGATAGCCTTGAGTGAATGCAGAGAATTTCTGGAAAGAAATCAAATACAGTCAAAGTCACTGAGCTAAAGTGGAAACAAGGTAACCCTTCACTGAGATTTGATTATCTGTAAGGTTGTGGATGATGGTAGAAGTGTTTAATCCTTACTTTTGCTACTTGTAATCAGAGCAATTCAAATCATTCTTATATAGTGTTTAATAGTTAGTATTTTTCCCCCTGTGTGTAATAAACATCTGTGTATAATAAACTTTAAATGTTCTTTTGTTACACAGGCAGCCTCTTGTGAATATGCTTATTGATTGACCACCACAGTAAACAAATTACAAACATACACCTTATATCATACGAACCAGCTCTCACTCTGGGATCTGACTTGTCTTGTGTTACTATCAGCTACCATAATAGCACAGTCAGGTGTTTTGATCCTATGACCCATCCCAATATCTTATTGGTACTGAGAGATGGAAGAAGGGTTAGTAAATAAGATGTTGTTCAGATTATTCATTCTAAATGAATTGCAGAACACTTTTTAAACAATCCTTAATACAATTTAAACTAGTGGCTTGAGAAAATAAATACTTTTGATTAGGTTTACCAAGCAATTTTACGATTTCTTTAGAATATAATTTAAAATAAAACAATGTGAATCAATTACAATTCATGAAATACTTCTCACCTTCTTGCAAGAGCAGGAAATACAACATTACCCTTTAATCCCTTTCCATCATCCAGAGACTCAAAACATTCCTTCCAGGTCAAACAGCAACGCTGTTGTATTTTTAATTTAGCATATTATAGTCACTGTTCATGAAGTAGTCTCCCCTTACACTGGGGAGGCAAAACAGAGATTGCTTGGAAAACACCTGCACTCAGTTTGAAAAACATAACCATGAACTTCTTGTCACTTGTGATTTTATCTCACTTTCCCAATTTCATGCTAGCCTCTCTGTCCTCAGCCTGTTCCAATGAAGCTCAGGTATAGGTATTTTTAATCAATCTGTTCAGGGATATTATGACACATCTCTAGAGTAGGTGGGTCCTGAACCCTTTAAGGAACAGCACCTCATGTTTTATTTAGGAATTTCATGGTTTTCTGAATTCAACATTTTATTCAACAACTTCAGATTACAAAATCTGCTCCTTTTTTGACCAATAGCTGTTGGCAATGTTTCAGCTTCTTATATATACTTCTCTCGACAAACATTTTGTTTTACTTGTCCTATTAGTATTTTATTGCTATGATCCCTTTGTTTATAATTAAATCTTTCTTGCTTTCCATGCTATCCCAGATCTTCCCTTTTGTTCTTTCTTCTTCATATGACAGAAATGAAGCACTTGTTACCTTGGGTGTTTTGCCAAGTGAATTCCAAGCATCCCATTTTGCTTTGTTGACAAAGTCCAACATACTGGGTTTTGGTGAATCGCAAGGACCTTGAGTAGCCTTTTAGATTAAAACAAACAAAATATTTATCTTTAGATATTTCAACCAATAAACACAGAGTAACGCTCCTTCTGCACTGCCCCGTCAAACACACCCAGTACAAGGACATCACGATGTTAGATACAGCGTAAAGCTCCTCTACACTGTCCCCATCAAACACTCCCAGGGCAGAGACACCATAGGGTTAGATACAGACATACACTGAAATAAACTGAAAAGCATTGCCCAAATTTTAAAATTCTTCATTCGTAACCAGAGGCATAAATTGGCAATGAAAACAAAGATGAAATGAGGATTTAAAATCTGGAACACAATGTCTGAAAAGGTTAGAGGAGGTAGATTTAAGTAGTCCCTTTCAACTTAAAAATGGCTGTTGGCTGGAAGAAAGGAACGGGGTAATGGATTGAATTGGACAACTTTTTCAAAAGAGCTAGTACGCTCAAGATAAGCCAAATAGCTGCTTTCTGTGCTATACGATTTTTTAAACTGAAAATATCTTTTATTATACATTATTCGTGTAAACTTGCAACATTTTTCATGAGGAATGTATTAGGTAAAAATAGCAAATAATCATATGAAAATTCTTTCACGATATATATCATGATGTCACTAAGTGATCTTTCCTGTCCACATATTACATAGAAAAGGAAAGTTATGCCTATAGAACGTCAGTTCATCTCGGCTATGAGGTTCCCAAGAGTGAAAAGCAACTCACCTCACTTGCCCTCCTGCAAGGACCTGAGGGGTGTACAAAAGATGCCTTCAATTTGAAAAATGAAGATGACCTTACAATTAAAGTTATCTTCACCCTTCTAGCTATCCTTTTCATAGATAATTAACTGCTGCTTTGCTATGTAGTTACCGTTACAATGTGGGAAATACATAGTAAGAACACCTCAAAAACTTCAATGAAAGGAATAACATCAGTCTTTTTTTAATGCAAGACAGCATTTTGATATTGATAAGGAGGCATGGAATTTCCCATTACCAGCTAGAGTACTGATTCCCCCCAATGGTTCATGGAAGTCATTTTCCTGGAGGGTGGATCAGGAGCAAAACAGTTACCTGTCTGCAAGCAATGGGTAGCTTGGTAACTGAACTCAAGGACAGTTAAGACCATTGATCAGAGGTTTTCCAGCTTCCCGAAGAAGGGTAATACCCAAAACGTTGACTTCTCCTTTCCTCCAGACGCTGCCTGGCTTGCTGTGTTCTTCCAGCCCCCTGTTTGTCTATCTCTTCGAGCTGATTGTCTCTTTCAAATGCTTGAGCAAACTTATTGTTCCCTTTAGCAAATCTCTCTAATGTTTTGCTTTCTATAAAATATTGATTTTTCTAAAATAGATGAGAAAAATAAAAACAGAAAATCAAAACCATCTTGCTATTTACATTGATTATAATTGGCGTACAGTTACATATATGCATTGCATCCTTCATGAGCTTTTGGTGTCTTCCACCATTAAATTCTATTGCTGTCCTTTGCCACATATTTGCAAGGTTAAGTCTTCTATTTTCTCTTCTAGTTATCAAATCACCTTATCAAGTAGCTAAAGCCACCATACATCTAAGAAAGAATTCCTTTTGTTCATTCTTCAATTATGGTTGTCATTAGAAGGTCAACATTTATTGAGAATCTGAAATTGTCTTGAAAACAGTCTTGAACTACTGCAATATGTAGCAGGAATTAGGTAGCTAGATAATTTACTGGGAATTTTGTTTAAAGACAAAAATTGTCGTATAAGGGTGTTGCTGGTTTGGCCAACATTTATTACCCATTTCTATTAGCCCTGAAGAAGCATATAAACAGAGAAAATAAGAGCAAGATTAGGATCGTTGAATCCTAATGTTCCGCCATTCAACATGACCAGGGCTGATCCTCTAACTCAACACAATATTTCTGCTTTCTCGCTATACCCCTTGATACCTTTATCCTCTAGAGATCTTTTCCTTTCTTAGAGTTGACCCTCACAGCTTTCTGTGGTAGAGAATTCCACAGGTTCATCAATCTCAGTGAAGAAATTCTTCTTAATCTCAGTCTGAAATGGCCTACTGCATCTCCCAAGACTGTGACCCTTTGTTTTGGACCCCCCCAGCCATGGAAAATATCATATTTGCATGCAGTCTGTCCGTCCCTATCAGAATTTTATGCATTTCAACAGGATTCCCATTCGTACTTCTAAACTCCAATGAATATAGGCCCAATTGACCTAATCAAACAAAATAACCTGTCATCCCAGGGATCTGACTGGTGAACCATTGGCATACTCCCGCTTTTTATTCTATAACAGATAAATGTATTTTAACAGAATTCAAGTCCTCACTTTTAAGTGAAAGCTTTATTCCAGATGGTCACATTACATGAAACTCACACACACTGATTATTAGCTCCCCAAATTTATTCAACAAATTCAAACCCAATCAATTCTTGATTAATATATCGATCACCTGTTCCCTCATTCCATTAGGTCTCGGGCATTTGTTCAGACTATTAGATAGGAATACCTCTATGGCAAGTATATCTTTTCATTGATAAGAAGATAAAAAATGCACACAATACTCCAGATGTGGTCTCACCAAGGACCTGTACAGCTACATTTTCTAGTCTGGAGCCATGAATAGTGCTACTAAGAGTGTCCAGTGTTCTTTCCATCACATGGCTAACCAGGAATATCTCCTGGTCTTATTTTCTGCCATGGGACTGTAGTGGAAGGATATGCAGCCTCATAACTCACTTGCCATGCTGCTCCATTGGCAATCAAGTCCTGGTGTGTGACTCGAATCCAGAGGCACTGGCTCTAAAATAGAGATGCTATACCCTGCACCATAAGACCAATCCTATAGTATGTCCTTTTCTAAAAACCAACACAGACAACAACTTAAACAATATAAAATAATTTGGGAGAATACTGGGGGAAATGGTGTCAAATAAAGAAATGATAAAATAAATCTTTTTGGAAAGCAGAAAAGTAAAAATCTAAAATGCCAAGTTCTACATATGCCACTTGGATATGGTACCAATAACTTGAAAATATACTACAGCAAGAAATCAACACTTAAAGGGGAATTGAAAAAGAAAAGAGAAATATAATTTGATTTGATTTATTACAGTCACACGTACCGAGGTACAGTGATTAAGTGTTGTCTTACATGTTTTACAGGCAGACCACACTAAACAGGTGCATCGCAGGGTAACAGAACAAATTGCAGGATACAGCGTTACAGCTGCCAAGAAGGTGCAGCGAGAGATCAACATTAACATTGAAAGAGGTCCATTCAAAAGTCTGATAACAGCAGGTAAGAAACTGTTCTTGAATCTGTTTGTATGTGAATTCAAATTTTTATGCCTTTTGCCTGACCTGGAGAGGGTGCAAGAGAGTATAACTGGAGCAGGAGGGGGCTTGCGTTATGTTGGTTGCTTTCCTGATACAGTGGGAAGTCAATGGATGGGAGGCTGGTTTGTGAGATGGATTGGGCTGTGTTCATGACTTTTTTTTTGCGGACTTGGGAAGACCAGTTGCCATACCATGCTGTGATGTGTCCAGATAGGATGCTTTCTACGGTGCGTCTATAAATATTTGTAAGAGTCTTTATGAACATGCTGAATTTCCTTAATCTCCTCAGGAGGTGGAGGCGTTGCTGTGCTTTCTTGACTGTAGTGTGGGTGGACCAGAACAAACTGTTGGTGATTGCCACTCCCAGGTTCTTGACACTCTTGACAATCTTCATCTCAGCACCATTGATGCAGACAGGGCTGTGGCCTCCACTCTGCTTCCTGAAGTCAATGGCCAGCTCCTTTGTTCCGCTGATGTTTAATGAGAGATTGTTGTTTTTACACCGTGTTGCTAAACAATCAATCTCCTTCCTGTACTCCATCTCATCATTGTTTGAGATCTGGCCTACAACAGAGGTGTCATCAGCAAACTTAAAAATGGAATTTGCCACACAGTCATGTGTGTGTAAGGAGTATAGTAGGGAGCTGAGTATGTAGCATTGCGGTGCACCAGTGTTGAGGATTATCGTGGAGAAAGTGTTGTTGCCTATCTTTACTGACTGTTCTGTTGGTCGAGAATCCAGTTATAGAGTGGGGAGCAGAGAGCTAGGTACCGGAGTTGGGAGATGAGTTTGTTTAGAATTATGGTGTTGAAGGGGAAGCTGTGGTCAATAGGTAGGAACCTGATGTAGGTATCCTGTTGTCCACTTGTTCCAGGGATGAATGTAGGGCCAGGGAGATGGTGTCTGCCATGGACCTGTTGCGCTGGTATGTGAATTATAATGGATCAAGGCAATCTGGGAGGCTGGAGTTGATGTGAGCCATGACCAACCCCTCAAAGCACATTATGGATATCAGAGCTACTGCGTGGCAGTCATTGAGGCACAGTGCATGATTTTTCTTTGGCACTGGGATGATGGTGGTCTTCTTGAAGCCGGTGGGGATTTCAGATAGTAGTAAGAAGAGGTTAATGATGTCTGCGAATACTCCTGCTAGCCAGTCCATGCAGGATCTGAGTGCACAGCCAGGGGCTCCATCTGGCAAGTCTCTTTCTTTGGCTTCAGCCTTAAGAAGGCCGATCTAACATCTACAGCAATGACTGAGCGTACAGGTTCATCTGAACCTGTGACAGGTGACATCATTTCACTGTTCTTCTGTTCAAAATGAGCATAGAATGCATCGAGCTCATCAGGTAGAGATGTACTGTTGCCCTCGATTGTGTTCGATTTTGCTTTGTAGCCTGTTATTTCATGTAGGCTTTGCCACAAATGACGTGTCACCAAATGGTTAGTCTGGGTTTAAAGCTTAGTTTGATATTGCCTCTTGGCATCCCTGATGGCCTTGTGAGGAAATTTTGCCTCACTAAAGAATTAACAGATCTTAACTTCACTGGTATGAGAAAGAGGGTCTACCAACTTTGTAGAATTGGAAACTGTTAGTATTGTGATGGAAATGGATGCAGCAACTTCTTAGGGAATTTGTAATTGAAGTGAAAGTACCAGATGGATGATCCATTCAAACTGTCATTTTTACTACACAAAATGGAAATCCCCACCATAAAAAAAACTTATACACTACTGATTCAAACTTTACCTATCCTGCTTAGAAACCTGCAGAACAATTCTCCTAATCACACCTCAGTTTCAGTTTCATTTCCTTTCTATAAGCCTTAAAATATGTAAACCCACCAATTAGATCAGCTCTTTAGGATACATAGGCAAACCACAAAGATAAATCAGGTGGTTTATGTGAAAGCTGTTAATCTAACTTCAGTTGAGGATCTTTCTTGAATATTGGGTTCATCTCCTGACCATTACTTTAATTTTTCATTTTAAATGTATTACCTGTTTAAACAATGCATATATTTGCAATTTTACTTCATTTCCAGGATCGTTCTTTAAAGTCTTCAACTTATTCTTTGCTTTCTCAAATTCAGCTTCTGTAGCAATCATGGCAACTCCAGATAAATGTAGTTTAACCGCTGGTAAATTCTGAACCAATCTGTAAAATTAAACACGTCAACCTGAAACTGAGTCTTTTAAATTGAAATGAAGAGTAAAACACCATCAATTTTTCAAAGAGCTTCAATGTAGGATGTCTACAAGCACAAGTGATGATACATGACATCAACAACAGCTTCTCAAGACTGTATACATTGCACTGGGTCGGTACTAATAATAAAATTAAATTCAAAGTGTAATACTGAAAATATCAAACATGCAATTCTGTGAGTTAGCATAATAAACTAAATGATCTTGAAAAGTGTAATGAAAGAACATGAAAGTTACCAATGTAAAAAAACTAACTTGTTTTCTAGTAGTTTTTAGGCATTGGAATTTACTAACATAGCCTGCTCCGGCCTGCATGACATCTGTCCCAAACTGCGTGAATGACTGCTCTAATAATCTAGCAAGCTACCCATTTGTACAAATTGTACAAACATTGTGGTAAGTCAGTCTCGCAGCAACCTAGATTTAGCACCATTCCTGTATTAATTTTATAAACCATCTTGCTTCCATAAACATGCAGTAATTACTTATGTTATCCACAGATGCTGAATAAGAAGTATTAAGGACCATTAAATGACGGGATGTTTTATCACCGCAATTGTTGATTTGCATTCCAAAATAATTTAACTCATGAGGGTTTCTGTCTAGGTTAATATGGTGTTAAATGCATTCAAAGTTACATATTTTCATGAAAGAATGACCGCAATATGGCTCTAGCTTGCTGCCTACTCCTCTGGGCCTCCATCCCTAGCAGCATTCTCTAACGTCTCTGGTCACACTTCATGGGCAGTGAGTGCCTGCACTACCTCCCACCTGTCCATGAAGGCTAGACACACACCAGCCTCACCACATAACCATAGCACACTTCCAACTCACTTATTATACAGTTCAACACTTTACCTCTGCACTTTGGAGCTCAACGGCACCCTTTCATTGCCATGCTGCTGCCAGGCTGCTTTGTACAGACAGATACCTATCTCATGCATTGGAGCAGGGAGCATCTCATCGCTTTTCACCTGGTCTTTTAGCATTCACTTACCATGCCTAGTTGGATGTTCGAGCGTCTCTGCCTTGCTTCGATGTGATTTGCTGCCTCAATCGGAACTTATATGCTTTTCCTTCTGACTTAGCCACAAAGCTGGGCAGCTTGTCATATTTTCCAGCAGTGATCAGTTAAGTAAGTGGACATATTGCTGTATGGCACTGTGTTACATCAATGTTACACCTATAGCATGCGCCAGCAGCTTACATTGCAAACACACTGAATGTGCTTCAGTCAAATGGCATGTCTCAAAGTCTAAGGAGATGAGACAAGGCAAGGGGACTGTTGTCAGTCAGGGGTCCTGCCTCAGCCAGTCAACAGCAGTGTCCAATCTCAGTCCAGGGGCTGGGACAGGGTTAGTTGGCCACTTGGAGTGGTCAGAGTCAGGAGTTCTACATCATTACATTACAGGGATCGGGTCATGGTCAGTCCTGCAGGTCAAGTGCAACAGTCAGGTGACTAGCAGTATGTCAGTCGGGGAGCTGCACAGAGATCAGTCTGTAGTCTGGTCAGTTATCAGTTAGAGCTGTAATTCCAAGTCGGTGAAGGGGGTTTAGCCATGGTTAGTCCTGGGGATCTGTTCACTGAAAGTCGAGTTGGATTATCAGGGGCCACTGCTGTGGTGGGCAAGTTCAGGAATTTAATTGCGGGGATTGGAAACAGCATGATGGGATGCAGGCAGGATAATAATTGTGAAGAGGGGAGGGCAACCTGACATACAATGTTGGGAGACGATAGTGCATTAGAAGATGGGTTATGCGGGAGTAGGTCATCAACCATTATCAGCAACTTCGCTTCAACAAGGGACAATGTATCATGATGACTGACATGACGAAGCTGCAGACTCAGGGGGTTATGTTGGAAGATGAAGACTTAAAAGAAAGAGGTGAGTGGAAACCTATGGAAGCTCAGAACTGGTGGAGGTCAACAGACAGTAAGGAGGCAAAGCAGATGAAAATTGGGGGGCGGTGGCATCACCTAGATTGACAGGCTGAACCTGTGAATCATTCTGTGAAGCATGACCTGGTCTGCTTTCCATTTTTATGTGCATTGCAAAAAAAAAGAGAAATGGCTGTTAGCAAAGCCAGCATGGCAGGTGTAAGTGTTTTTTCTTTCTGTCTCAGGATGTAGGCTTTACTTGAGAGCAATGCAAGACTTTTGCAGGGGCAGTTACATTAATCAGTAAGTGCAGATTTAAGACATCTGTAATCATAGAATTCTGCATGTGAAACACATGCAGTGATCAAATACAAATCCTGGCCACAAACAATCTTGGCCATTCCAAATTAACTGTGGACATCTCTGTGAAACAGACATAATCACAAGTGACCTGCAAGTCACAATTCACAAACAGAATTCAAAGTATCATAGGCTGCACAAGGGTGCAAAACTACTTTCTTCACACCTTGAACTTAAGTATTGGTCACGATACTCTTATTTGCATCGCTTTTTTCTTGAGGGATGTACAGGAGTAAGGGTACGAGGTTTCAGTAATGCTATCGCACTTAACAATCTGTTCCTGTATTTGCACAACATGGCATTATGTTTGTAGTTCACTCAAACCATAAATAGAAATTGAGGTAGACGGAGGGTAAACTTAAATTGTATTACGCGGCCTCTAAACTCGACAGTCGATCCCGGACTGCGCCTGCAGCTATTGCCTCTGGGTCACCTGACCCGGTCTCTTAAAGCGACAACACACACCCAACTGCATATATAAAACATAGCTAGTGCTGCATACATTAGAATAAGGTCTACTGTGTCAGAAGTCGATATACAAGTATTTCATAGCCATCCTCGTGCAGTCCTTCTTGTCTCACTTTTATCAATGACTATACTGAACTGAAAATTGTGTGTGATGTGAGTGCTAATGGTTCACATTTTTCAGGACCTGTTCTGTTTCTAATGTTCCTCCACACAGGTTCATTGGAACCATGATCAAACCACAGCAGCAGTTATTATCTCAGTGGTCATGGCAAACTGATGGTGCCTAGAAATTGAGGAGGAACAAATGTGCCAGTCGTCCCAAGACCAACAGCCAACTCCAGGGGCTGTCGAATAACCTCCACATAAAGAAGTTGCATCTCAAGATCCCCTGAAGATACAGAGAAGGTAGAGGAAGCCCGGAGTCTATCATCCTCAATGTCATTTCCTCCAGATAAGTGAGGCACTTTGACGCTATAGACTGAGATGTCTCAAGACACTGTTACTGAGCTCTGTCATCTTCTGCAACAGGATTTGTGACCTGAAGAGTAGGTGACCATCATATCCCAGGAGCCATCAAGGTGACATCTGAGCTATATTTTAAGCAACTCGTTGCTTCAAAAGGATCCACAGGGATCTCCCAATCCTCAACCCACAAATATATCAAGGTTGTTACCCTGTGATGAGATCAGTGCTGCAGCCTGGCCAGTAGACTTTGCCAATGTAGCTGGCATCTCCCAAGTACACGGTACTATATACTACATACAAGCTGCATTTTGTACATGCCATATCATAAATGCGGTTCACTTCATCAATAGAAAAGGGCTCCATTCCATCAAGGTCCAAGTCACTTTGATCATTAGTACCCTATTTTAGATGTCTGTACCAGGCATCCTGGAAGCTGCCATAATATCCATGTCCTTGAGAATTTCAATGTTTCTCCTTTGCTTCAAGGTTGAATGCCTTAGAAGGATGGTTAATGGGCTACAAGGACTACCCTCTGCAACCATGGCTAATGGCTACACAACCCCCTGACATGGCGTAGATACAATGCAGCCCACTCATCAACCAGAGCCATCATGGAGCTGACAGTAGGCATCCTGAAGATGAGGTTCCAATGCTTGGATCAGTCTGGACTGCCTTGCAGTCTAGTCTGGAGAGAAAGTTCCACATAATTCTTGTATGCTATGGCCAGCACCACTGGAACAGGCAAAGAGGAGATGTGATGGACCTTGGCAGCATTGGGCACAACAAATGAAATATGACTTGATTGACATCTGCTTCCAATAGATTCAAGTTGGGTGAAGTGATTCTTCATTGACTATAAATTTGTTGTTGTTCAAAAGACATGTAGCCCCTGTTTATTCCCAGAAACAAATGCAGATTTGTTTGTTTATTTTTGTTCTTTGCTTTTCCTGCTGTTCAATAAAGATTAACATTATCAACTGTTTGGAGGCTTTACAAAGAATTTGAAGAATTGTTTGAAGTTGGAAGAAGGATATTATTGAATTGGAGAGGGTTCAGAAGAGATTTACCAGGATATTGCCGGGACTGGAAGCTTTCAGTTATAAGAAAAGGCTGAATAGGGTAACTTTGTAGAGGTTTATAAAATCATGAGAGACATAGATAAGGTGAATAGCAAAGGTTTTTCCCTGGGGTGCAGGAGTTCAAATCTAGGAGGCATAATTCAAGGGGAGAAGAGAAAGATTTGAAAGGGACCAGAGGGACAACTTTTTCACACAGAGGGTGGCTCGTATGCAGAATGAAGTGCCAGAAGAAGTGGTGAATATAGGTACAGTCACAACATTTAAAAGACTCTTGGATAGGTACATGAATAGGAAAGGTTTACAAATGAGGTGACCAAACACGTGGATGAAGGTAGAGCAGTGGATGTGGTATACATGGATTTAAGTAAGGCATTTGATAAGGTTCCCCACGGTAGGCTCATGCAAAAAGTAAGGAGGCATGGGATAGGGGGAAATGTGGCAGGTTGGATTCAAAATTGGCTGACCCTTAGAAGACAAAGGGTGGTAGTGGACGGAAAATATTCAACATGGTGCTCAGTTACGAGTGGTGTACTACAACGATCAGTTCTGGGTCCTCTTCTTTTTGTGATTTTTGTAAATGATTTGGATGTAGGAGTGGAAGGGTGGATTAGTACGTTTGTGGACGATACAAAGGTGGGTCGAGTTGTGGATAGTGTGGAGGGCTGTTCTAGGTTACAAAGGGACATTGATAGGATGCAG